ACAGACAGAGAAATCGAACCTTGGACAAGAACCGGTTTTGTCTCAAAAAGAAATTTTGATCATCTTCTTCAATCATTTTGTCACCACACCGAGGCTTTTAACCATTTCTTGTCAATGACCGATTTCTTGTCCTGTTTTCGTGACTTAATCGTTGCATACTTGAGATTTTTCTTACTTGATTTGATGATCAAACTTCCAATGAAACTTTTATTCTTTTTCTACGAAATTCAATCATCGAAACAAGTGAAAGGAAACTAAAAACTTCTAACATTAAATCACATGTGCTTAAACATTAACGTATGAAAGATTTTCATCCTTAATGCTATTGTTTTAAGCCAAACATGATTTAAAATCACTTGAAATGGCCACAAAATATAGTCCATAAAATGCTATTATCAACTCCTCCACACTTTAACCTTTGCATGTTCTCAAACAATCAAAAAGCAATGTCAAAAGTTTAAGAGATAGGAATGTACACACTTACTTATTCAAATTCATTTCATTTAACAATAAGAAACACCCTTATAATTTCATCAATATTTCAAGTACTCATATATCAAGCTAAACAAAGATTATTGTATGCCTAAGATAACATATTCGACTCATTCCTTTATCTTCAACTGGAATATAACAGTGAATGACCCGCAATAGCTATGTGAAATACAGTTTTCCCAAGTCATTCTCCAAGTTCTTGCCATGATAAAATTCCTGCATATAAGTAGAGGGGTTCTTATTACTTTTGCATATATTCTAGTGCTCCTTAGGGAAATTGTCTTTTGATGTGACAAATGATATTTTTAGATAAAGATTGTCAGTCACTCAACAACTGCCCACTCAAATACCATTTGACACGAAGATCAACACTTTTAGATGAACACCCCGATTACTTAATACAAGAGTTCTTGGAACTAGAAACTCACTCTTATTCATTATTTTTTTCTTTTTTCTTTTTTTCCCTTTTTTCCTTCTTCTTTTTTGCTTCTTCTCTTTTTCTTTTTCCTTTTTTTTTAAATCCCCTCGTACAAAAATTAGGCTAAGAACTAAGGAGAATAACTAGAAGATAATTGTACTCACATAAACTATACATATCCCCCAACCAACATAATCAAGAGAAAATAAAGAAAGTCATCAAACATGCACTTATAGGCACAATTTTTTCTTCTTAACAAGGTATAGTTTCCTATTTTACAATTCATCATCATAGTCAAGGTGTTCCAAATTATTAAAATCATGAATTTTTCAAAGTAAGTGCACAATTTCTTCCAAAATTAGGGAACTAATTTAGTCACTTAGCACTATATTTAAGGTAATTGGACATCATTTTTCAAAATTTTTGAAGAATTTTTGAAAAATTGTAATAGAGTTTCCCCTTATAAAAGAATCAAACTCCCTGTCAACAACCCAATTAATCGCAAGTCCAATCATCATAAAAACTCTTGATCATGTATGTCCATGGCCATTCAATTACCAAAAACCAATTTCCTTATTGCAAATTATTTAGTTGTTGTTAATCAATAAAATTGAGTAACAATGATATAAAAGAATGAATGGAACGTAAGGAATAGACACACGAGAGTAGTGATGTACTTGGGTGGATTTTTGTTGTTGCATTTCATGAATTATATGAACTAGTATTTATATTTTCACTCTAGAGTACGAAGAATGATGTTAGTTACAATCAATTCATCATGAGAATGAGTCTTCATTAACTTTGAAAATGAATCCCTTGAGACAAGAGTAATTAGCAAGAGAATGATCATTTCACTTGTATTCTTGACCATTACTAGAATCTACACCTTAGAATTTTATATTCGTAATTTCTCCTCAAGAATTTCATCCACATGTTCAGCTTACAATTCTAGCGTGTTTGACATAGTCACTTTTTATTGTCTAATTTGTTTGCCGTCTAAATATTAGAGTGAAGTAAGGAACTAGTGATTGAATTTCAAGTTTCTTATGGGATCAACCCTTACACTCCTTACACTGTAGTTACGACATGTATAATTGCAGAGAACGGAAGTATTTGGAATTAAATTTGAGTGCATATTTAAAACCCGTCAAACCACATGTTTTATTACTATTTATCATATACTTTGAACGAATTAAATATAAATATTGTTAAAAAATTCTTTATTTATGTATTTTTTATGAATTATGACTTGTTCATGTATAGTTTAATGATGTAGTTTCGTGAATGTTAAATTAGTTTTACAACTTAATAATTATAGTAATTGTATTAAGAAAATTGAAGAGTAATAAGTGAGTTTGCATTAAACTCGATTAAGGTTTAAAACTCGAATATTTTGTGAGTCAAGTATAAAATTCACATTTATCAACCTGAAACTCATAGCTCAAATCCCAAAAGTGTTACAAATAAAATGAATTGAATATGAATTTATGAAAGCCCAGTTCAGATGGGCCGAAGCAGTCAAATTAATTACCAAATGACCTATTATTATATTCCCAAAAGTACTCCATCGGTGAAGTACGAATTGAACTACTGAAGCCCATGTTAAAGCATCAACTCAATTCTACATGGTAAGTGATAAATCAACCATAATATTACCCTACGCAACAACATGGAGTTAAGAACCCACCGAACAAGAAGTATAAGTATTTTTCCCTTCAGTAGTCTATGGATCATGCACACACTCGTTTCCCTCTTGATGCCAAACCTTTCGTTAAATTCCCTTGCGTTCCTCGTCACTTGGAACTATGACTACAAACGAACCAAAACGCTCCCGAACCACTTGATCAATATCGAGCTCAACTTGAACTCGAGCTCAAAATATTAAACTCGTTAACTCGCAAGTCGGCTCACGAACTCGAGTATATATATATATATATTTTTTAATTTTAATAGTAAAATTACATATGCATTCTTAATATTTTATTATTTATTAAGAAAAAAATATTATTTTATTTATTTTTAAAAAAAATAATAATTATTTTTTATTTTTTTTGAGCTCGAGCTTGGTTTGAACTCGAGTTTTAAATTGTCAGCTCGTCGAGCTCAAACTTAAGTTCGAATTTAATAAAACTAAGTCAAAACTCGACTCGATTAGCCCAAAACTAGACTCGACTCAACTCAGTTGCAGCTGTACTTGGAACACAACATGAAACTCATAGCTCGAATCTAAAAAACGTTACAAATTAAATGAATTGAATCTAAACTTAAGAAAGCCCAACTCAAATGGCCCGAAGCAGTCAAACTGATTACCATATGACCTATTATAATATTCCCAAATCCCAAGTGTACTCCATCAATGAAGTATGAATTGAACTACTGAAGCCCATGTTAAGGCATCAAACAAGTTCTGTCAATTCTACTTGATATGTGATAAATCAATTATAATATTACCCTACACAGCAACATGGAGTTAAGACCTCACTGAACGAGAAGTATAAGCAATTTTCCCTCTAGTAGTCTATGGATCATGCACACACTCGTTTCCCTCTTGATGCCAAACCTTTCGTCAAATTCCCCTGCGTTCCTCGTCACTTGGAACAAAACAATTTGCGTTGTTTGATTTGAAAAGAAAAGAATGGGAAAAATATCCCATGTGCGTTGTTTTTTTTTTAGGGCTACAATAATATATGAAGTACGACTCTCCTTTTCTTAAAACAAGATCAAAATATCTCTTTAAGTCCCTTAATAATATTTTTACTATATTTAATCACATACTCTCAACTATTTAATTATGACGAGACCTAAAATAATATTAATTTTTTTATTGGGGTATTACATTTGGTGTTCTGTATTTCCGTCAATTTGGCTTATTTCATTTGTCTTCAGAACGGTTGTTGCAAGTTCTTTGAACTTCTTTTTTATTCATGCATGGTCAATTAGCCATTGGACCATGAACATTTGGGCATGTAATGGTACCAAGCTGAGCTAAGGAGAATGAATTGAAATTGACAAAGCTGAATTTGCTAATGGAACTTGATAATAATTCCCAATGGTAACAGGATTAGTAGAAAAACAACTCGAAGCTCATATATTGATATTAATTGAAGAAGTTACAGAAATGGGCAGCAAAAGAAAGAAGATGAATAAGAAGGGAGGAAACTTGGGAGGGGGAAAGAAGATTGGGAATGGTCCCAAATCTGACAAATAACAAACATTCACTAGTCTTTTACAATAGCAAATCTCCTTATATAAATCTGCTAAGCCAATAACTAACTTCTAAAAGTTATAATCACATTAAGATACGTGTCCTCCATTGTTTTCAAGCTGTTGTAGGACCACAGCTGCTGCCTTCACATTGCTAAGTTGATTTTCCCAAAAAAGGTGTGCTTCCAGAATCACGCTTTCATCCACTTCTTCTTCTTTTGTGATCACGCCTTCTGATTCCAGTATCACGCCTTCTATTTCTTTGCTCTTAGTTCAATTCTATTCCATGACAATAGCTCCCTCTTCAAAACAATCTTGCCCTCAAGATTGAAATTCTGGAAACCTTCGCTCAATATCCTCTGCGTCTTCCCAAGTAGCTTCTGTGAGAGAGGCTTCCCACCATTGCACTAGCCATTGTACTATTGCTGCATTCTTTTTCTTAAAAATTCTTCTATCTAGCACTATCAGTGGCTCTATCCTCAGTGTCCTTTCTCGTCTGTGCCTGGCAGTTGAAGTACAGGAACTACCTTATGTCCCACCATCCTCTTTAATTGGGAAACATGAAAGATTGGATGTATCCTTAATTGTGCTGGTAACTAGAGTCTGTAGGCCACCTTTCCTATCTGTTGCACTATCTGGTAGGGTCCCAAGTACTTGGCTGATAACTTAGAGTTGCCCATCATCTCTACCGAGTTTTGTCTGTAAGGTTGTCGCCTAAGGTATACGCAATCACCAACCTCAAATTCCCTCTCAGATCTCTTTTTGTCCGCATACACTTCCATTCTGTTCATTGCTTCCTTCAAATTCTTCTTGAGTAGCTCATCTATCCTCTGTCTATCCTTCAAATGGTCTGCAACAGTGGCTACCTTAGAGTGTGAGTATGAGCCTAAGGCCAAGTTTGAGGGGGGGAGGGTTCCATTCCATATAGAGCCTCAAAGGGGCTCATCTGAATGGCAGTATGATAAGTTGTGTTATACCACCACTCTGCCAGAGATAGCCCTATGTTCCACCTCTTTGGTTTCAAATGAGTCATGCACCTTAGATACATTTCCAACACCTGATTCACCCTCTCAGATTGTCCATCAGTCTGAGAGTGGTATGCAGTGCTTAGACATAATTCAGTTCCCAATAGTGTGAATAATTCTATCCAAAATTGACTAGTAAAAATCTTATCCCTATCAGATAACATTCTTAGTGGCACACCATGCAGCTTGCAAACCTGATCCAGGAAGACTCTGGCCACTGTTGGGGCATCAAAAGGATGTGTTAAACTAGTAAAATGAGCATATTTTGTGAATCTGTCCATTATTACCATAATAGTGTCTTTCCTTTCTGAAGTAGGTAGTTCTTCAATGAAGTCCATAGTGACATGACTCCATGAGTACTGAGGTGAGTACTGATTGCAGGAGACCAGGATCAGCAATATGCTCATCCTTGCACTTCCTACAAGTATCACACTACAACACTATAGCCTTGATCTCCTTGTACATTCTTGGCTAGTGAAATAGCTGTTTGGTTCTCAGGTAACTGGCTTGCACCCCAGAATGTCCTCCTAGCTGGGAGTCATGGATAGTAGTAATTATTTTCCTCCTAATTCCTCCTTCCTTCCTACCATTACTCTTCCCTTATATTTGACTATTCCATCCTGGTAGGAGTAGTCCTATAGGGAACCAGGTGTGAGTACCAACTTCTTGATCATCTTCTGAACCTCCTCATCTCCTTGGAAGCTCTCCATCACCTCCCTTACCCATTCAGGGATAGCACAGGTCACCTCTGCATACTCCTCTTCTTCCTTGTTTGTTCTCCTGGATAGTGCATCTGCAACAACATTTTTCCTTCCCTTTTTGTACTAAATTTCATAATTCAACCCCAGCAGCTTAGTGAGCTCCAGTGATCTGTTCTGATAATGAACTGGCCACCCTCTAAGTAGTGCCTCCATTTGGTGACTGTAGTAACCAGTGCCTGTAACTCATTTTCATAGATGGACAGCTCCAGATTCTTTGCCTCCAAACTCTAACTCGAGTATGCTATAGGTCTCCTTTCCTACATAAGCACAACTCCTATTCTACCATAACAAGCATCAGTTTCTACAATGAAAGGTTTACCAAAATCTGGTAAGGCTACTATAGGGGTGCTGCACATAGCCATCTTCAACCCTTAAAATGTCTCCTCAGCCTCCTTATTCCAGTGGAATCCACCTTTCTTCAGTAGTGAGGTAAGGGGTTTGGCAATGGATCCATAACCCCTCACAAATTTCATGTACTATATAGTCAATCCCAAAAATCCCTTCAGTTGTTTCACATTTTCAGGTTTTGGCCAGTTCACTGTACCTTCAATTTTCTTAAGATCTGCCCGCGCTCCCTCAACAATGATTATGTCGCCTAAGCATTCAATCAGAGTTTGAGCAAAGCAACACTTACTCTTCTTAGCATATAATTGATGTTGTCTTAACATGTTCAGTACTTCTACTACTTATTTGAGATCATTCCCCATTGTAGAGCTGTATGCCAAAATGTCATAAAAAAACACAATGACATTCTTCCTCAGCTGCTCCTTGAAAACCTGGTTTATTAAACTCTGGAATGTAGCAAGGGCATTAGTCAATCCGAATGGCATGAACTTGAATTCATATAGCCCCTGGTGAGTCTTAAATGCAGTCCTATGTCTGTCTTCCACTTTGACTCTAGTTTGGTGATAGCCTGCCCTCAAATCTATCTTGGTAAAGTACTTAGATCCATGCAACTCATCAATTAGCTCATCAATCAGTGGCATAGGGAACTTGTCCTTCATTGTGATTTCATTGGGCTGCCTATAGTCCACACAGAACCTCCAACTCCCATCCTTCATCTTGACCAACAACACCGGTGAGGCAAATAAGCTACTGTTAGGTTGAATAATTCCCATCTGTAACGTCTCTTTCACCAGTTTTTTATCTCAGATTTCTGCACATAAGGGCACCTGTAAGGTCTGATCTGAAAAACTTTGGCCTCTTTCCTCAATGGAATTCCATGATCATGACTCTTGGGGGGGAGGCAATCCTTGTTGCTTAGCAAATACATCCCTGAACCAGTTTAGAATCTCTTCCATGCCTGTTGGGATCCCTTTTTGTCCTACCTGTCCTTCCTCTACCATGGTTAAGTAAGCAGTAAATCTATACACCTGTTTCCTCTTCCATTTGGCTAATTTGCTCCCCTTGATAGTTGTGAGTTTCAAGTCTGTGACGACCCCACCTCCCCCTAAGGTTTAGCGAGTCACCTGCCCAACTCTCGCCAAGACTCACTCACTCGTACTTTGAGAAATTAACTTACATCCATAGAGCAATAAATAATATCACAATTCAAACTTATAATATACATTGATGCTCGATTCAAAATACAAAACTCCTTCACACTAAAATAACAATTCAAGTACAAATCACCCTAGCCAAGTGATAGCGCGAGTACAATTCAAAATTCAAAACATCTAAACTATGCTAGTCTGTACACGTCTCACGTCTCACTCGTACCCCCTATAAGGAAAACAAAACTAATGGAGTGAGCTGAAACTCAGTGATGTTCCGAATATCAAATTGACTATCAAATAACGTAGAAGTAGCACAATAGTAAAATAGTGAACAAACAAGTTAAGAAATAAGTAATAATACTTCATATAACCAAACAATAAATATTTCACATTTCACATATAAGGATACAGTTGCTCATATATTGGCTCCACCATAACTTGATCGATTGGCAGTTGACACTCCGTCAACTTTCAAGTAAGGTAACTAGTCCAGTAGAACACCACTTAACTCCAATCTCCGTCCACCGACCAAACCTCTTATCGGGTCCAAACTCCACAATAAACACAGGTGGTAATACTCAAGTATATCGATTAGTCGAGGAGATAACACTCCACTTGACATCACTAACTACCTAGGGTTCATTATCTAATCGACCAGGCTCTTGCTGACTCGATTCGACTAACTAACCACAGGGTTTCTGGAATTCCAGGCCAGATACAATTCATATGCATGTATATCAAATCAATTGAAATCGATGAATAAGGATAAATCACATTAGGGCAAGTGCGATAAAGTACACTCTTGCCTTATCAATTCACTTATGTATCATGTAATCACATTGGTCAAGTGTTCAACACAAATGTCAAATTCAATCAGATATTTGGAAGCACTCACCAAAATGTAGTGCTTCTAATGATCACGTCTAGGTTGTACTCCTGGCTTGGAGTCCAAATCTGAGATAAAATATTGTTTAAGAACTTTGGAAATCGACTAAGATTCGAAACTTAAACGTTTCGTTTAACAAGAATCAAGTAATTGAAATTCATTTAGAAAATATTTGTAAAACTCTTGCTCGCTTTTCAAACTGTGAGACTTGGTAGCAATTATACCTAGAAATACCATTTGAGTCGAAAGAACGAGGAAAAACGTATTTCTATTAGTCATTATTTCCATTTTTGCAAAGGTACAAGGTCGGCCAAGTTCTAACTTATATATCTCGATAAAAGAAGATGCAAATATCCTTGATGGTTCAAGTGGTATTCGTTCTCAAATCTTTACGCAAATCGCGAGTATATCTACCTAGCTTTCGAGCGCAAATTTGGGCAGCACGCCCTTTGTATTTACCTATTTTTCAGCCATTTATGGCTTCATTCTTTTCCTCAATCAGTCCCAAAATCACATGCGAAGAGTCTCATTACAATAGCCGTTCAATAGGCTCAACGTCATACAATTACAAAACCATGCTACAGAAATGACCGGAAATAAGGTTTAAGGCAAAAAGAAAAAAAAATGTTCGATGTTTCTTAGCGTATCGGTCACAATCAAAGATACACTTATCAGATTGGGGTGCAATTTATATCATTTGGAAGGTAAGACAAAGGGCTGCAACTTTGATGAAGACCACTCAATCTAGTTCATAGTGTATCCAAGTCAAATTCATCGTTTACAGAACCAGAATTTCACCGTCAGGCTGGTTAACAGCACTGCATTCAGCTGACAATAACTCAGGCTACAAAAGTCTGATTGAAGTGTTTTCGGAGGTGTTGGAAAGCTAAAACATAGCACTACAACTTTTGTGTTTTGACCAAATGCTAATTCAATACGGATCAAGGTGAAAAAATGCGGCCAGAATGGTGAAATGTCAAAATTGTCCACAGAGCTCTACCTATGGCAGTCAAGGGTATTTTTGTCTTTTCACATGATACAGTGCTCAGATTGAGCTGAAATTTTGTAGGCACATCATTTCCTACAACTTTCATGGTTTGAGCTAAGTCTAATTCGGCCTCCATCATGACCAAACAGAACCGGTCAGAACAGGGTAAGATGAAAACCCAAATCTGGAATTTAGTGATTTTAAAGTGTAAACTTCACCTTTCTAACTTAAACCACTACTACAACTTTCTATACAAGATTATATACACTATATACCATCCAAACAACAAGAAATATAAGTGAACCATTCAAAACCCTAACTCAAAATTTCAGCACCACAAGCATCAAAACCCCTTAACTAGGTATCACAAGGTAAGAATACAAGTTACTACATAACTTCAACAAGACTAAGGGAAAGGAGGAAGATGAACAGCCATAATACCTCAATAAAAGGCTTGCAAGAGATATCTTTCACCTCTCCTTGAAAAATTTAGCTTCCCAAGCTTCCTAAGCTCCTAATTGAGAAGTTAATCGGATTAGTTTCCTTGATTTCTCACTCAAATGGCTTAAGCTCAAGATGAAATGGAGTTTTCTTCCTCTTGCTCTCTCCCTCAAAGCTCACGGCTGGAATGCTGAAATGAGGAGCAATGTGAGTGATTTTTGGTGATAAATATGGAAGAAATTGGTTGGTCAACAACCTTTAGATGACCGCCACTTGTCGCCATGAGATTAACTCTCAAATTTTTTTCTTTTCCTTGTGTTTTTTTAGTCAATAATTTCAGCCACTATGAGCTAAGAAAGGGGCTGATATTTTGCACTAATTTCAATGATGTTTCATGGTAAGAAAGTGGTGGTCAAGTGGTGTGTTCAATCGGTAGTAAATGATACCCGTCGGTTCGAGTCGATTTTCCTTCAATCGCATATACTAGGGTTTTATCTTATATTTCACTAACTTATTATTATCACTTCTAATCACACACTTAATATCATCTAAAACTCACTCTTAATCACCAAATTTAATACTCACTCCTTACCGAATAGTCACACTACGAAAAGGTGTAAAAACCCTAATTTGCGATAACTTGAAAATGAAAGGGAAAACCCTTAATTCTATGTTCATTTGCACTTATTGTGGCGTGATTGAATAGTAAGGCTATTATAAAGTAATAATTTTCCAAATAAAAGGGAATTTTTAAGGAAAATATTAGGAATTTTACAAGTCCTCACAAGGTCCCTGGATTCTCTCTTCAATTTCACCTTTTTCCTTCCTTTGCAAAACCTCATGCTCAGTCCCTTGAAATCAAATTCAATGGGGTTGCAGCTGGCTAGCCAATCAACCCCCAACACCAAGCCACAGCTCCCTAACTTCAAAGTGTTAAAGTTATGCTGGAACTCATACCCCTGCATTTTCCATTCCAAAGGCTTGTTGAGCTGTCTGGACTCCAACCTTTTCCCCAATAGCCACTCTAACTCTCAGTGGAGCTTTTGTTACCTGTAATTGTAGGTATGTAGCTAGTCTCTCATCTAGGAAATAATGTGTTCTACCACTGTCCACTAATATTAGGACCTCCTTGCCCCCCTGAGTTCCTTTAAGCTTGAATGTTCAGTGTCCATTTCCTCCAGCTAGGGTGTGGATAGATGCCTGTGTTTTCTTATTACTTATCCCACCTTCAATGCAATCAAGAACTCTTACCCTTCATCTCCTACTTCCTCAATGACCTCAACTAAATCATCCCACTCATCCTCCAAGATGTAATGTATTTGGGCTTGTTTGTAGACATGGCCTAGTGTGTATGGTTTTGCACACTTATAGCACAACCTCCTTACCCTCCTGTAACTAAACTTTGAGGAGGTAATCTTCTTGAACTGGTCTGTTGTAGTAGCTTCTACCCTATTCCTTCTGTTATTATTGTTTCCAGGGTTCTTAGGTTTGTCATTAGACCATTTGTATCTCATCTGTGTTGCAAGATTCTGTCTGTTAGTCACCTGGGTATTTGAATTTGGTGGGTATTTCTGAGTCATAATTCTCTGTGTCTTCCTTATAGCTTCCAAGTTCTTTTCCTGTAACTTAGCAGCTTCTATGATATCTGCTAGGGTGAGAGGTTTAGCCATTTTCGCCATACTTACAATTTCACTTTTCAATCCACATAGAAAACTTGATTTGTAATATGAATCGAGTTGGCCAGGAAATAATGGCATTACCAGTGGTTTCAGCAGTTCGAATTTCTCCAGCTAGTCAATTACACTCCGAGTATGTGTCAACTTGTTGAATTCTTCTATGGTCTCCTCTGATGTCCCTCCTTCAAATCTCTCACACACTGCCATGGACAGTTTATCCCAGGTAACCGACTCTCTCCCATGATACATCCCATAAAACCATATGTCTGCCTTGTCTCTGAAGTGTAGCTGAGCCATATCAGATTTCAATCCTTCTTCCGGCCCCTGGATCTTGAAGTATTTATTGGCCCTCTTGACCCACTCTCTGGGATTATCCCCATCAAACATAGGAAAATCTAGCTTAGGTAGCCCGGCTCCTCCTTTCCCTTCTATTTTCTCAGGTTTCCCTTTAACCAGGTCCAACTTCTGTTCACCTCCAGAGCTGCTACCTTCCCCTATTCTCCCTTAATCATTCAACTTGGCCATCATCTGAGCCATCATACTCATCATACTTCTGATCCAAGTTTTTAGTAGTTTTCTCAATACTCTCCTGCTTGTGGTCCATGGCTCTCATAGCTTGTTTCAGTCCATC